TCAATCATTCAATTAATCAATCATCCATTCAACCAATCAATCAATCATTTAATCAATCAATCAATGCACTTGCTAAGGTGACACACCTAACAACATTCCATTTTTCGAGGGTTAAGTGGTAGTGCATTTGTCAATTAATGTTTCTTGAAATATCCATGCAATTCCAATTTTAGATAAAGTTTGCTTGATATCTGACTACATTTATATACAAACTACAAAGGTTATTAGAGCCTTACCAATATATATTGTTCCAATGCCTTCATTTATTGAATTCCCTTCACTGTCCCTCACTTCAATAACAGTACCATCTAATGATAATCCAAGAGGTATGCTGTCACGTCCAACACTCCTASGATCTGTATCACCAATATCTTGTACACAATCTTTACTAGGGATATCTTGTAAATCATCATTGGTTATCTTGTAACAAGAGGCCCAACATGACACCTCAGTTATACCATATAAATCAWATATTTCAGTTTTACAATCTTTGTGYTTCCATTCTTGTAGGGTGTGCTTTGGTGGACATGGTTCACCTCCAAAGGCAAGAACTCTCAATGTAGAGTCTTGATTCAAGAGTTTTGTGGTGATGTATTGATGTCCTATCATGTATATCAGGGATGGCGTTGGCTGTTTGCAAATATAACAACAAAACAAATAAACATGTTAGTTATAAGTGCTATCTTAAAATTACCATCAAATTGCAAGTTTTCCCTCAAACCAATGCAGCATTACATCACATTACCTGCAAAATTGTYGTTCCAAGTTTCTCAAATAAGAGTTTACAAAGTTTTTCTGGTTGCAATTTTACATTTTCTGGAATAACTGCAACTTTTGCTCCTGATGATAAGGCAATGAACAACTGAACAACAAATGGATCAAATGTATATGGTGAYATCAGAGCCACGCAGTCTTTACAGGAAACTCTAAATATAGATGCAAGACTTGTGAYATTAGGGACAACACACTGRTKRGGAACTCTGACAGTCTTTGGGYTTCCTGTGGTACCTGAAGTYTGCATCACATAAGCTAAATTCTGCTCAAAATTCTCACATCTAAATTGTCCATATTTRGAGTATATCACAAAACCATTGGACRAAAGTGTTTGATCTTYGACTTTTTYAAATTTTTCKTCCATATTTCYATTYAKAAGGGTTAAAATCTGGTTGAATTCTTCTACAAGTTTTTCTTCTACCACCACAACTTTGAGATTCAATGTTATTGACTTAATAAACTGTTCTGCCATCAAAGGAGGCCATTCTAGTCCAATTGGAGCAAATGCAGCTCGTGTTTTTAAAATTCCCAGCAGTAACGCAATGAGTTTAGTACTTTGTMGGCAAAATATTGCGATTATTGTGTTRYTCGCTTTGAGTTGTCTAAAAGATGACGATATCTCATTAGCCATGTTATCCAGCTCGTTATACGTAACGTGTTCTTCTTCACCTTCATTACTGATGTAAGTTAAAGCGGCGTTATGTGGATAATTCGTTGCTGCTTCATTGAAAATACTCGCAAGTGTTGTTGTCTGCATSTTTGGATCAAAGCTCCATTCGGCTTAGTGACCGCCCCTTTGCTAAGGAAACCCAGCAGGTACCAAGGTACCAAAATTGGACATAAATGCGAAAAAGTAAATTTGCTCTATTTTATCATCAAAAACATGTAAGCGAAAATCTTTGCATCGCGACTTCTTCGTTYCCAAGTATGTTTTGAATTTGTTCACGTTTGATCAATAGGGGAGGAGCTTTTTGTAAACTCGTTCAGTCATTGCCTGATCTGATTTGCAGCAAGCTCCGCGCCAACGTCGCATAAAAACCTATACCCTAACGATTTCTTTTGAACATTGAAGTCGATGCAACGGTTTCTGCTGTAAAGACGCATAATTTGTATACAGTATAAATTTTTGTAATCAGCAAGTTTTACGTCAACCTTTGAGCCTGTCTCATCCTCGGGAACCCATGCGTAATCTTCTGTCATAACCGGAAAAGAAAACTAGCCAAAAATAAGAATCACAGAAGAATCTGTCGAAAAGAAAAACATGGAAGTTCAGACCCTAAATAAAACAAAGGAAGCACGAGGTCACGAGATACCAAAAGGAAAATCATGCATCTCGAAAATGCTTTTTACACTGATTTCTGAAACCAAGGARAAAGCTTGCCTTGAGGACCTTGAGGAGTTTCTCTTACCCCCGTTGATCCGTCTCGCGCTAAGCCTTGTGACACCGATGACGGCTGTAACGAAGGACGGCACGAGATCAAACCCGCCAAGTCTAAAATTRGTATYGTAATTACYTCGTTATTTTCCCTATAAAATCACAAAGCCATTACCAAATACCACTTAATGATATTACCAGTAATTGATAATATTATCTAGTTTTATCCATCCGCATAACGAGTGATTATTTTGCTAATGAWTGGCATCCCAAAAATGAATCGGGCGGTGATTGAGGTACATGGCTCCCCGCGGTAGGATTTCGAACCCGCAAGCTGAAGCTCATTTTCAGGGTAGGGTCTTGTTTGTGATATTATATTTCATAGTTCGAAGGTCCTTGAATTGTTACAAGTAGAGCGCACTGAGGATTAGCTAGAAAATCTTCTAGTCAGTTCCCGGTTAAGAAGGTTAGTATGATAAAGGGGAGTGAACAGCCATTTGGATAAAACTTATACCATAAGCCCAGGAAACATATACTACTCATCGCTAGCATTTACTTCTAGTAGATGTAATTTAACAGTCAGATGTGGCACTAAAGGAAACTGACAACCATACTTTTTTGTTTAATACTTAGTAATCATTTTACTTGCTTATAAAAAAACATATTTTAAATCTTTGAATTTTGTATAAATTATCACAGTCTCCATTGAAAATCGTGGATGAAAATCTAGCGCTAATTATAACAAGACAGTACTGTGGACAGACGTCAAATCTAATGATTTACAGACTTGATATATTTAGATAACATTTTGATCTCTCTAATTCTCTCAAAAAATTGGATTATTTGGCAAATTATTTATGGYACAAAAATTTCAATTGTTAAAATTATATCGTACTCCGGTTATCCTATGTTTTCTCAGAGTCAAAGGGAATGTGTCAGGGTTYCATAACGCAATCTCGCTGCATCAGTCAGTTTGCTATTATCAGTGTATCTAAAGTTAGTTCAGTACCAAAGTATTGGTTCAGGCGACACAGATATGCCCCTATAATCTGCAGCTACAGCTGCCGAAAATATTAACTACAATTAGTATTTATGGGGTGTTGAATGCTGCTGAAGTCTAGCGTTAGGTGTGTCGTCTTTGCGGCATTAAAAGCCCACATAACAAAGCGCTATTGCTGTTTGCAGYACAGTCTGCGGTGCGGTGTTACAGTGGACAAGACGATGCGGAGTTTCATTTGCTTACTTCTAATATCGATTGCTGTATGGAAACCGGTGAGTACGCTGRCAATAACATTTAYATCATTGATGTAGGTAATGTTTCTCCGGCAAACGCGAGACTAAAAACTTTGGTGTTGAAAGAACACACGATGGTGTAATGTATATTACAAAGCAGGGGGTAAAGTTTACTTTACCATTTTTTGCACAAAGCGACTAAACTTATGAAATTAGGTTCCTGAAATTACATACAGTACAACGAGCTATCACATGAATTGAAGATTGCATTGCTAAAACGTTCTGAAACATTTGTTAACATAAATAACCTCTGCTTGAAAATACATCTTTAAACTTACGTTTATTACCGGAGGTCTATTAATTTATTGTTTCAGYAGAGGATTTGCCAGGCGATGCTTGAAGATTTGCCATGGATTTATGTCACTTTATATCAGTTATACAATTACGATGTTTTTAATGCGTTGCCTGAATGTTTCATAGACTTTTGATATGATATAATCCATGGAGTTAGAATGATTATTTGTAAGATACGAACTTGTAGCATGTTTTGGTCATTCACTGGTTCAAAGGGTCATTGTTAGTCACTTCCAATTAAGTGATAAGTAATATGAACAAATTAATTATTGTTGATGAAAACTGATATACTAATCGATKTTATAATCGCAAGAAATTCGAGGACTAAAAACATAAAAATCCCAATCAAAATTTRTCAAAATCCCAACTATCTTTTAGTTTATACGATGAATAACCTAAGTTCAAGGATTTGTATGGTGTAAAATGCCTTCTAAATACCGAGCGATTGAAACGTCTTGACCTTATAAATCCCTCGCCAATACGGCTGGAATGGATTGCATATATAGATAAAAACCCTTAAAATTCTTATCATCACTGGTTCAGATGTAGTTTGCTACTATGTGATTATTTGGTGTAGACATTTGTCTCTTGGGAGCGGGACTACTACGACCTACTACAGGAAATAGTTGAAAACTCATTTACATGTTAACGTACGATCTGGGATCAATCATACCTGATGTTCATCACTAGTTTTTTGGCAGTAAATAATAGCAAAATTAGCCTTGATTGCTGTCTCTCCTTTCCGCCAAAAGTGAWTGCATGAYTTGATATTGCTTGTGTGACAACAATGAGACGTGTCCTGCTGAGAAAATGTCACGAAACCTCCAAAACATTATAAGCTCCGCGCTTGTCTYGGAAAAAGAAAAAAATCTACGCCTAAGAAACCCTTAACACCACATATAGAGCAAATAATATGACTGCGGGTCTATATTTAATCCATGTGAAAGTTTAATCCGAGAGTTAAATCTGTTTTAGGCTGCCAGAGTTCTGTACAAAAGGAATATTGAAGAAGTAGAGCCAGAAGATGTCAATTATGGCGTTATACAAGAAGGTACGTTGAAAGTCAACACAACTTTTCTCATTGATCTAAGTCTCTAAAAAGTACAAAAGGAAGAAATCGAAAGGATCGAATGCTAACACTCATACCATGGATGCCCTGGTTATATRTATTCTTGTCGCATGTCGGATAGAAGGCAAAGTAAGGGGTGGAAACTTTTTATATCTCGATAATCTCTTAATCAATCTTTTGAACTAAGTTGCTTTCGGTAAACAATTTTTATTGATATATCCATTAATGTGTTTTTTATCTATTCACTAATCCTATCAGCAAAGAAAGAAACATTTGTATTACGATTTACATAATTTCCATACTCCACTGTTTAGCAAAAAAAGACTGTTTCCATTCCTATACTAAGATAATGATAAATTTATCTATAGATGATTACATTGGAAAGAGTCAAGAATTCCCTGAGGAAAGTAGCGGTACAGATGTAGACATATCAGAAAGGCCAAATAAATTAATAACAACAATAATTTCTTCTGCGGGGCGATCCAGTAARAGCAAACCAAGTACACCTCCTTCTCAAAAACCCACGAGCCAGCAAGAAACATCACAAGCATCGACAACAATACCTGAACCATCCAGAGCAGAGGAAACGACAGCTCCACCATACACAGCAACGACAACAAAACCTGCACAATCTACAGCAGAGGAAACAACAGCTCCAAAATCCGCACAAGCACAAACAACAGCGGCATCATCCACAGCAGCGACAACAACACCTGCACCATCAACGGCAGTGGACACAGCAGCCACACCATCTACAGAAGCAACAACATCAACGGCAGCGGAAACAACAGCTCCACCATTCACACAAGCAAAAACAACATCTGCACCATCGACGGCAGCGGAAACAGCAGCTGCGCCATCCACAGCAGCGACAGCAAAACAATCCACGGCAGCTGAAACAACAGCTCGACCATCCACAGAAAAAAAAACAACACCTGTACCNACAACAGCAGCAAAAACAACTGCTCCAACAATAACGCCAGCAAAAACCACAAGTGCACCATCCATAGTAGCAGAAACAACTAGCTCATTATCACAAGTAGTAGAAACAACAGCTGCACCAACAACAGCAGCAAAAACAACAGCTGCACCAACAACAGCAGTAAAAACCACAAGTGAACCAACAACAACAGCAGAAAATACAGGGTCGCCATCTACAACCACAGATACATCTAGCCAACCAGCTACTACCACTTTCCACACGACCCTAGCACCTACACCGACTAATGAAATTGTGGGGAATGGTAATGGGAACGAAAGTGTAGTTGGTAAACACTCTGGAACAAACAATGGCAATCAAAGTGGTATAGGTGGGTGTCTTTGATGATATGGCAAGTGCTTCGGTGAGGTTATTAGATTGCCGTTTATATTTTTGATTTCTGTTTCAGATAACGAATTATGTAAGAAAGTGTATTGCAGAAATGGAAATATGTGCTTCGCAAAAGAGAATGGCAAACCTTTGTGCTTCTGTCCTAAAGTCTGTAACAAGAAGTCAAATATTCTTTGCTCTGTGTACCTTGAAGAATTTTTAAACCCTTGTGAACTGCACCGATAYGCATGTAGTATACGAACCAACATTGCTATCAAACAGAAAGGACAATGCTCAGGTAGATGATATAACAATATGTGAAGATAAGAATTATGTGTATGTTATCAGTCTGAATTTCTTGAGATGACTATATATAATGTATATCGAGATATTATGCCAGTCATCGGTAATCCATATTTGGCTAAGTCGGCAAACAGACTCGCATATTCGTACTTACATGGGTAAAATATATGCTATATGCAAGGCCTCGAATCTCAGGCTAGAATAGACCTTTATTGCAGTACTACATAATTGTGATAAATCCCTTGGTATAGATGAAAGATCTACCTTTATTAYTTTAACTATTATAACATATTGTGTTGCCTTTTACCAGATACTAAAGCGCAACTTATGACGAGCCAACTGATTGACRGAACACTTACGCCTGAAAACGTTTGCCCTAGAAGCGAAATAATCCAGTTTTCAGAACGCTACCTTGAATGGGGAATGATAAAAAAGRAAGTGGCTGAGAGTACTAATCCACAAACATTAAATCTGAACTCATCTGTAATCAACGCACGTATGAATGGTCTTACAGCGATTGAACGAAGAGAAATTTTGAAAGTAAGTTTATTTTGAATAATGTTAATGTTTTTACGTCCAATTTGGCTATAATACATAGCTGAAGTTGAAGTATAAGTATGGGCTGTTTCACTTTGACAAAAGCAGAAATAGAAGCCGGTTCATCCTCGACATGATCATGTTGCGCCTATTCACACTTGTGTCTTTCAGCATAGGCAGAAGCATAAGGAAATGGATGTTGAGGTGTTTCAATCGTTTGCAATTGTTTTCAGTTTCTATTTGAATCCCTGGACGTCAATAAAGATGGCAGTCTTATTAAGGACGAATTAAGCWCATTCGTAAAACACATGCTTGATAAAGAATACTGCTTGTATGGATTCTTTGCATCATCRGACATCAATCGAAACAATGGCATTGATGAGGAGGAGTGGTATGAAGCATTTCAGTTATACGGTACGTTGACAACGTAAAGGTATCCTGCAAACAGAAACTCCAAGACCAGGAGTTTCATGTATTAATTCATTTGGGTATTTGCCGAATTCGTCACTATACTAACATCACAAATGCATAGAATATCAACACAGCGCAGCACATGGATAACATATTTAAGAGAGGCACCACTCTTAGGTCAACCACATATCACCATAATCTAACATATAAAACTACATCACCCTTCATTACACCATAMCCCACACCATACCGATTCAAACTTAAATCTTAAGTGACGAGCCATAGATAATGATGATGATTTTTTCTCTCTTTTGACTCTTTTCAGATTCGTTAAATGACGTCGGTGGAAGATTATAACAGATACAATAAATGCACTTAAGAGGCGATTATATATTATTATGTTGCATGTACAATCTGAGATTCTATTCACTGGGAACATATCAGTACTGTCCCTCCATGAAAATAATAAGAATTTCCAACTATTCAAACAGAAGATAAGTTCGCTACTGGTTACAGAATTTGAAAGCAGATTATAATGTCAATACGTGGCATAGGTTTTGTTCATTATTATAAGTGTTCAGTTCATATTTAGTTCTGTGTTAACTTGACCAAAACATGCAACGAGGGAAAAAAGATTGATGCTCTACAATGTGAAAAGGAATGTCTACTCAGGGTGAATGACTAGCGCTATACTTCTAGTG